GATAATGTTATGATATATTGGGATATAGTCATCACATTAATACTAGTTGTGTTCTATACTAACATGTTTAATCCATGAATAATGTTATTATTCTAAAAGTTCATAGTTGGTTATAATTGTGGGAGTAATTATAAATTAAGATTAATATGAATTGGATTGGTTGACTCTCACTAGATGAAAGTAGGCAAGTGGTTGTAACCAAGTTTCATAGGTACTTGTCAGAGAACTAGTATTGAACTGACCCGCATCAAGATCAGTTCATGGATCGTTATCGTGAATGATACTTGATTAAAAGGTACTATCTTTGTATCCTTAACACTTGAGATACATAGTGGTACTTAAGTATAGGGAGTGCTATGCTTTGATAATGGTCAAATGTTGTTCCTTAACCGGGCAGTTATAAAAGCCATTTTCAGGTATGGTGTGAACTATGCAAGAGGCTTATGTAGTCAAGATGGGATTTGTTCCTCTTATGTGTTGAGATTTAGACATCTAAGGCGCCTTACCAAAAGTTGAACAACTAATGAGATTGATCGCGATCCGAATCTCATGTTCAGCATGATGTCTGTAGCAAAAGGATAACCGATAAACTTACCTTATACACTAATTGTAGCTTTGAGCTTTTTGGGAATTGGGCGTTGATAGAATGGCACAAACAGTCGTGTGGTCTTAGGGGCAGTGAAGTGTTGCTAGACGTTCACCACTCTCTCTATCAGTCTAATATGAGTCTTGCGCAAGGGGGTGATTGAAAGATCTAGTATGCTCAAGAATCATATTAAAGTAATATTGCTAAATAACATATGATGCTAATGGGTCACACTAACAACAACTTGATACAATTGATTATTTATTAGAAATTGATTTTAATAAATATTCAATAAAACTCTTTTAATTAAATTGGAAACTATTTATTTCATGGAAATAATAAATTCCATTAGCAAATAACTTAATGTATATCATATGGTATGATTTATAAGTCATGTATAAACTTTTGGACTAGTTGAATCCTTTTTGTCTTTTTCCTAAAAGACAATGTTTATATTTTATAAAAGAGTTTTATAAAAGTTTGACTTTCTTTCTTCTTCTTTATGCAATTTTTGAGATATGCATAAAAAGAAGAAGTATATGACTTGTATAATCATGCTTTAAAGGCATGGGAGACATGCTTATGACAAGGAGACAAGTTTGTCTAAAGTTGAAGGAACCAATCGTTAATAATTTCACTTTTAGGCACTATAAATATGAGGCTTCCACTCTTGAAATTTTTGCCTCATTCTTTCTTCCAATGGCTAAGTGCTCCATGGGAGACTCTCCATCTCTTCTTTGCTTTGAGTTATTGAATATTACTTGCATATCTTTTGCTCTCTTGAAGTTCATATTGGTTATGAACTTCAAGCTTAAGAGTTTAATAGTTTTGGACTAGCATCTACATCAAGTTGAGTCATTGTTGGCGTCTCAAAGGTTCCACATTCTTCATCAACTTCCAAGCCTCCCAAGAGGACCCAAATAACTACAAAGGTTGTTCTTCATCCTTCCTTTGGTTGGTGTTTAATCTTTCTATAACTTGCAAGAAGATCCTTGGTGGGTATAAAATGTTTATGTTATTTCAAAATTAAAGTCTTCCGTTGCCATAATTTTTCTAGTTTATGAAACTATTTTTGAACTAAAACCCAGCAGTTCTTTTAGTCTTTACATGTTGTTTGATATATTATATTGTGTGTACGCTAAGATAATCATATTCCATTTTTAAGAAAGTTACGTTATTCTTCATTTTCAAAATATACGTATCCGTTTGATTTCTTTTAAGTTTAAGTGAAATGTTTAATTGTTGGTCAAATATGATTTGATGGATTTTGAAAATAAATGAGAAAAAATATTGAACTTAAGGTTATGATGTTATCCTTTTTTAGATTAAACATCGATAATATGTTTTTTTGTATGTCTTTTGTAAACTTTATTTGCTTCCATTAATTTGCAATAATGTGAATACTACTCTGGATGTTACTACTATAGTTTGTGTAGTAATGTTCTTTTTTTTTTGTCGAAAAGAAACGTGATATTACAGGTTATTTGCACTCTAACATATATAAACGATCGTTTTTGGATTTGATTAACAAATATAACACATTAACTTTTTACCTTTATGCAGATTTTCAATCGTGTGTCTACCCATGAAAAATGGGTGTCTCAATATATCAGTGAAGATAATGGAAATAATCTTTGTCTAACTTTCATTGTTAAAACAATGTTAAAGAGAAAAGTTTGATGAATGAAGAAGCGCTTTTTTGCACCTATATCGTATGCATATAATTATATTTTTATTTGGAACAAATATAAATTTAGAGACATAATACCAAATCAGAAATAACTTCAAATTTTAACAACGATAAGGTATCACAAATTACACATTAATCTAGGGTAGAATTCATAAAACCAATTAAATTTTATATTATTAAAAAATCAAAAAACATAAACCAATGAAATTAAAGAGTCCATTTGAATAAAACGAAATAAAGAATAACTTATTTTTTGTCTAGAAATAGAAAGCTTCTTCATTGACGTAACCAAGTTTTTATTTACAAAGCTTGAAACTTTTATTTAAATATTAAGGTATCATTTGAAAGGTGTAATTAAACATCTTTAATATAATCATTTTACATTACTAAATTAAATTAATTTTAGAAGTAAAGAAATGCAGATAAGATAATCTTTTCTTTGTTTTATTTCATTATCATTGGCTGATCACATTTATTATTATAGTATATATATTATTATATACATAATGAGCATGCACACAGGCGTGTGTGTGTGTATATATATATATATATATATATATATATATATATATATATATATATATATATATATATATATATTGTAAGGTTCAAATGTTTCTCACATCTATTGTATGTTAGAATACACCAATAATAATTTTGTAAAAATTAAATTATAATTTAATCAAATAAAGATAGATATTAAATGGTTTCCATAATTATATGTATAGTAAATGATATCCATAATTATAAATTTTTTATGGAAACTAATTAAATTCGTCATTAAGATCAGAAATAATATTCTTTTAGAATGAATCTGCATCTAGTTTTTCATGTATGAGTTTGTACTTTGTTTCGTGACCCGCTCACTTGAAATACAACAAAAGTTGCCTGGAACATGAGTATATTCTAGTAGAATGAAAGTTTATTCTAGAAGAATGAGAGTATATTCTAACAGAATGATAGTGTATTCTAGTAGAATACACTCTTGTTCTTCATATTCAATGCAACTTTGTTGTATTTTAAGTGAGTGGGTCCATAAACAAAACACGAACCCATACATGACAACCGAGATGTCAATTCATTCTGAAATAAAGTTATTACTGACATTAATGACGAATTTAATTAGTTTCCATAAAAAAGAGAATTATAATTATGGATATCAGTTAATATACATACAATTATGGAAATAATTTAATATATATCTTTATTTAATTAAATAGTTATTTAATTTTACTAAATTCTTATTGTTGCATTATAACACAAAATAAATGTAATAAACACATGAACCTAGCCATATATATATATATATATATATATGTGTGTGTGTGTGTGTGTATTATGTACGTTTTTACGGTCGTGTTTAGTACTTCCTTTGAAGGCTATAGCTTAAAGACACTTTGATGGGAACCATAATATTTAGCTGTAAATAATATTGCTAACTTGACATGATACATTTTTGGTCGGTAATTATCGGTCTTATTAGTTTTTCTTTATGTAATTTTCTTGACTCATAATTTTTGTATTGTACTTAGGAGTAGTTCACTATACTTGTTTTTGTGTTGATGTCATGTATGTGGTTTAATTAGTTAAAAAACAGGTAACAAATATGAAAAAAAAAAAATTGGGATTCTATTACTTTCTAAATATGTAATTTTGACTCTAGTAGTTTTGGATTGCACTAAACATATGTATATATTTTTCTATGTTCTAGAAGCTCATAATTCAAAGAAATACATGCTTTATGAGCTAGGGAAATGCCCTAGGGACCCAAGAAGGACACTGCTCTTAGACTTGAAATCATCTAAAGAGTGTATGAATTATGCATCTCCTAACCCATTCTAACTATATTTGCCTCTATATGTGATAGAATAGTTTTGATCACACGATTTTCTTCCTGCAACTATTTTTAGTTATGATGGTAAGTAGGGTATTTATTCGAGAATAAGTTTATGGTCCAATTTGTTCCAATTATCTGGGTGGGACAATAAGTCGCAATATTTGTAGTATGACACTGATTTTGGATCGACTATTGGTCTAATGCGCTAATGACATGCCCTATGGTTTGTAATAAATGGGATCTTAAACATTTTCTTGGATTGGCCAATACCCACATGACATATATAAGTCGATTCCTAACAACTTGTTTTTGAACTAACATAAATGATTGTGTTCATCGTCTTTCGTTTATGTTTTTTTAATCAAATTAACATAAAAAGCATAAACAAATGAAGACAAATAAAAATAAGTGAACATATATGAACATAAACAAACATATAAAAAGTAAACAAATAAATGAATGCAAATAGACGTAACTTGATCACCAACACTTTGTATTGTTGATCATACTTAGTTGTGCTACAATTGATATTTTTACCAAATCCACAAGATATAAAACCTAAGCTAATTTTAAAAACTCGACGTCAACACCGGTCATGGCCCAGGTTATTGTCCGAGTTATTGGTCCATGCATAACTCAGAAGTAATTATGAAGTATATATATATATATATATATATATATATATATATTGTGTGTGTGTGTGTGTGTGTGTTTGTGTGTGTGAGTGTGTATACATGTAATTAACCATGTATAACTTACGTAGTAATTACAAAATATACATAATTAATTCCAAAGTGGAACTCTTTGATTTGTAAGAACATAAACGGTTATGAATCAGAAACATTATAAATTTCAATGAACATTCCCAACATATTTAGTAAACCATTCTAAAAAAGCAACATATTTTATAAATCATGGCAAGACTTACATTCTCACTGTGCTTCATTGGCTTTTTCTTGTGCCTCATTATGTGCACCAATTCCGTGCAAGTAAGATATGTATAAAAAAACTCATTCTATTGTACTAACAACTTAAAAAGTATTTTAGATTGGAAAATATTATGCAAATATTTTATGGGATTATGATGTTTTTTTTTGTTGTTCTGATAATGGATAGGGGAAAACTTGGTGTGTAGCTCAAAGCCAGGCTACCGAACCAAAGTTGCAACAAGTTCTTGACTATCTTTGTGGACAACTCGACTGCAAGGAGATTCAACCTGGAGGATCGTGCTTTAACCCTAACACTGTGCGAAATCATGCTTCTTATGCTATTGATCTTAACTTTCAAATTAATGGTGTATGCGATATTAGTTACGCTACTCCTGCTGTCACGGATCCATGTAAGTTTCTTTTTCTATTGGAATATTTTCTAAAGAAATTCTATGGCACATCAAATATCGGGTGATAGGTGTACCAAATTGAAACTAATTTTGTGTTGTTTTTATGTAGCTTTCGGGACATGTGTCTACCCCTAAGTGAAGAAAAAGTCGTAATCGAACGACACATTGAAGGGAAGATCATATTTTTTTCAAATTCTTGAAGGGTGAAAAGAATGTATAAAACAATCTAATAAGTGGAAATAAAATGTTCTTTTAGTCTTTACACGTTGTTTCATATATTATATTGTGTGTATGCTAAGAACATCATATGCCATTTTCAAAATATACGTACCTCGTTTGATTTCTTTTGAGTTTAAGTGAAATGTTTTATTGTTGGTCAAATATGATTTGATGGATTTTGAAAATAAATTAGAAAAAAAGACTGAAATTAAGGTTATGATGTTATCCTTTTTTAGATTAAACATCGATAATATGTTTTTTTGTATGACTTTTGTAAAGTTTATTTGCTTCCATTAATTTGCAATGATGTGTATACTACTCAAATGATTCTTGAGTTTGAGGCGACCTTCAAATAGTTTGAAGAGTTATTCATGAAAATTAACATTTTCTCTTGATGTATATAAGAAAGCTATTGTGTCCTTTAAATATTACAAACTAAATAACCTAGCCCGAAAATGTTTTGTTTTTTAGAATTTTTGAACTTATTTTAGTGGTCATCGATATATAAGACATGAAATAGTTTGGAGCGAAATTTTTCACTAAACTAATTTTTGAACTCTCTCAAAAACGTTTTCACTACAAAAAAATATGTCTAATAATCTTCAAATCAAGAAAAAAACATATAAATCTTCTAATCTCTCTTCTTTTAATTATATTATACAGTTTTCGATCTTTTTAATCCCTAAATAAAGTCCATCTACGGAAAACATATCGTATTGTTCGATTATCTATAAAATCGGTGTAGGTAATCATTTTCACTATAAGAATTTCCTTTAAACATGTTTCACAATCATGTGTTCAAAAATTTTTCTAAGTATTATGATGTTTCAAAGTAAGGACTTTATATTATCATTTTTTATATTGGATTTGAAAAGCTATTACCATCAATTAATTGGTTACATCAAGTTTTGAAGCTAAATACATTTATTTATTAGTATTAACATTTTCATGTCCATTTAGTCGATTACAAACATAAAGTAGTTAAATGCTAAATAAGTTTCACTTGGGAAGTCATAAAAAAGGCGAAATTAAATGAAAGAGTAAAAGCATTCACACAAATATTACATGTTTCTATCGTTACAAAAATATTGAAGTTGAAAATTTTCCATTGCATCAGATATCTTTCATTGTGCTTTCTTAGTTTCCTTATTTGGCTGTTCTACTTATGTAGAAGTAAGGCACCAATAATTCTTGTACATTATGTATTAACTACTTGTAAATTCAAGATTTTAACGTTTCTTTAAACTACATTTTTGTTGTGATTCTACAGGGGAATCAAGGTGTGTGCCCCAAACATGTGTTTTAGAAGCACGGCTAGTCTAATTAATGAACGATCTACTTTTGCAAATTTATCTTCGTCCTATCATATTGGGAGGGTCGTATTATGTTACTACTATTGTTTTTGCATTAATGTTAGTATTTTTTTGTCGACAAGAAACGTGAAATAATAGCTTATTTGCACTCTAACATATATAAATGATGGTTTTTGGATTTGATTAACAAATATAACACATTAAGTTTTTAACTTTATGCAGATTTTCAATCGTGTGTCTACCCATGAAAATGGGCATCTCAATATACCAGTGAAGATAATGCAAATAATCTCTGTCTAACTTTCATTGTTTAAACAATGTTAAAGAGAAAAGTTTGATGAATGAAGAAGCGTTTTTTTGCATCTATATCGTATGCATTTAATTATCTTTTTATTTGAAGCAAATATAAATTTAGACACAAAATATCCAATCAGAAATAACTTAAAATTTAACAACCATAAGGTTGCACAAATTACACATTAATCTACGGTAGAATTCATAAGACCAATTAAATTCTATATTATTAAAAAATGTTATTAAAAAATCATCAAACATAAACCAATGAAATTAAATAATCCATTTGAATAAAACCATATAAAGAATAACTTATTTTTTGTCTAGAAATAGCTTCTTCGTTGACATAACCAAGTTTTTATTTACAAAGCTTGAAACTTTTATTTATATATCAAGGTATCATTTGAAAGGTGTAATTAAACCTCTTTAATATAATCATTTTACATTAGTAAATTAAATTAATTTTGGAAGTAAAGAAATGTAGATAACATAGTATATATATATATATATATATATATATATATATATATATATATATATATATATATATATATATGTGTGTGTGTGTGTACATATGTATTATGCAAGCATTTGCGGTCGTGTTTAGTACTTCCTTTGAAGGGTATAGATTAAAGACACTTTGATGGGAACCATAATAATTAGCCGTAAATAATATTGGTAACTTGATATGATACAATTTTGATCGGTGATTATCGGTCTTATTAGTTTTTCTTTGTGTAATTTTCTTGGTTCATAATTTTTGTATTGTACTTGGGTGTAGTTCACTATACATGTTTTTGTGTTGATGTCATGTATGTGGTTTAATTAATTAAAAAAACATGTAACAAATATGAAGAAAAAAAATTGCGATTCTTATACTTTCTGAAATATGTAATTTTTACTCTATCAGTTTTGGATTGCACTAAACATATTAATATATTTTTCTATGTTCTAGAAGCTCATAATTCATAGAAATACATGCTTTATGAGCTATGGAAATGCCCTAGGGATCCAAGAAGGACACTGCCCTTAGACTTGAAATCATCTAAACAGCGTATGATCCTAACCCATTCTAACTAAATTTGGCTCAATATGTGATAGAATAGTTCTAATCACACAATTTTCTTCCTACCACTATTTTTAGTTATGAGGGTAAGTAGCGTATTTATTCGAGAATAAGTTTATGGTCCAGTTTGTTCCAATTGGCTCGACTATTGGTCTAATGCACTAATGACATGCCCTATGGTTTGTAATAAATGGGATCTTAAACATTTTCTTGAATTGGCCAATACCCACATGACATATATATTATATATATATATATATATATATATATATATATATTATTAAAAGTCGGTTCCTAACAACTTGTTTTTGAACTAACATAAATGATTGTGTTCATCTTCTTTCGTTTATGTTTTTTAATCAAACTAAGATAAAGAAGCATAAACAAATGAAGACAAATAAAAATAAGTGAACATATATGAACATAAACAAACATATAAAAAGTAAACATATAAACGAATGCAAATAGGCATAAACATCGTAATGAATAATAATAAAACTTGATCACCAACACTTTGATATGTTGATCATACTTAGTGGTGCTACATTTGATATTTTTACCAAATCCACAAAATATAAAACCTAAGCTAATTTTAAAAACCCCACCTTGTTATTGTCCGAGTTATTGGTCCATGCATAACTCAAAAGTAATTATGATATATATATATATATATATATATATATATATATATATATGTATATATATATATATGTGTGTGTGTGTATACATGTAATTAATCATGTATAACTTACGTAGTAATTACAAAATATACATAATTAATTCCAAAGTTGAACTCTTTGATTTGAAAGAACATAAACGGTTACGAATAAGAAACATTATAAATTTGAATGAACATTCCCAACATATTTCATAAACCATTCTAAAAAGCACCATATTTTATAAAATCATGGCAAGACTTACATTCTCACTGTGCTTCATTGGCTTTTTCTTGTGCCTCATTATGTGCACCAATTCCGTGCAAGTAAGATATATATAAAAAAACTCATTATTATTGTACTAACAACTTAAAAAGTATTTTATATTGGAAAATATTATGCAAATATTTGATGGGATTATGATGTTTTTGTTTTTGTTTTTGTTGTTATGATAATGGATAGGGGAAAACTTGGTGTGTAGCTCAAAGCCAGGCTACCGAACCGAAGTTGCAACAAGTTCTTGACTATCTTTGTGGAAAACTCGACTGCAATGAGATTCAACCTGGAGGATCGTGCTTCAACCCTAACACTGTGTGAAATCATGCGTCTTATGCTATTGATCTTAACTTTCAAATTAATGGTGTATGCGATATTAGTTACGCTACTCCTGCTGTCACGGATCCATGTAAGTTTCTTTTTCTATTGGAATGTTTTTTAAAGAAATTCCCTGGCACATCAAATATCGGGTGATAGGTGTACCAAATTGAAACTAATTTTGTGTTGTTTTTATGTAGCTTTCGGGACATGTGTCTACCCCTAAGTGAAGAAAAAGTCGTAATCGAACGACACGTTGAAGGGAAGATCATATTTTTTTCAAATTCTTGAAGGGTTAAAAGAATGTATAAAACAATCTAATAAGTGGAAATAAAATGTTCTTTTAGTCTTTACATGTGGTTTGATATATTATATTGTGTGTATGCTAAGAACATCATATGCCATTTTAAGAAAGTAACGTTAGTCTTCATTTTCAAAATATACATACCCGTTTGTTATCTTTGTAGTTTAAGTGAAATGTTTTATTGTTGGTCAAATATGATTTGATGGATTTTGAAAATAAATTAGAAAAAAGACTGAAATTAAGGTTATGATGTTATCCTTTTTTAGATTAAACATCGATAATATGTTTTTTTGTATGACTTTTGTAAAGTTTATTTGTTTCCATTAATTTGCAATGATGTGTATACTACTCAAATGATTCTTGAGTTTGAGGCGACCTTTTTGGAGAGTTATTCATGAAAATTAACATTTTCTCTTGATGTATATAAGAAAGCTACTGTGTCCTTTAAATATTACAAACTAAGTAACCTAGCCCGAAAATGTTATGTTTTTTAGAATTTTGAACTTATTTTAGTGGTCATCGATATATAAGACATGAAATAATTTGGAGCGAAATTTTTCACTAAACTAATTTTTGAATTCTCTCAAGAACGTTTTCACTTCAAAAAAATATGTTTAATAATCTTCAAATCAAGAAAAAAAACATATAAATCTTCTACTCTCTCTTCTATTAATTATATTACACAGTTTCTGATCTTTTTAATCCCTAAATAAAGTCCATCTATGGAAAACATATCGTACTGTTCGATTATGTATAAAATCCGTGTAGGTAATCATTTTCACTATAAGAAATTCCTTTTAACATGTTCAAAACTTATAAACATGTTTCACAATCATGTGTTCAAAAAAATTTATAAGCATTATGATGTTTGGAAGTAAGGACTTTATATTATCATTTTTTTATATCCCAGTTTAGTGAATGGTTGCCATGAACCAGAAGATTCCGGGTGAAATACAAGTGTAAATCCTTGGATCCCAGGTTACGAATTATGTACCAAGTTGGCTTTTGGTTGAAACTCGCGTTGGGAATCGTGAGTGTATATGTACAAGGTCTTTCTTTCAACAAGATAGGAATTAAGGAATTTGTATGCCAAGGGCATGACCTGAAGGGTTCAGGGCAAAAAGGGATGTTTTTAGAATTGACGGTGGAAAAGGCCCTTGTGATCATGCTTTGGAATGATTCTACCTGTGTGTAGGTCTGGCAAGTTTTGGGATTTCATAATAATAGCAGTAGCGTATCAGTTCGGCAGTTAAGGAATCTGTGACTAGTTGAGCACTAGAAGGTTTAACTCCCATATTGTCTCTTGTTGTGCACTATGTTCATGGATTCGTTAACTTCAGGATGAGTCTTTTACTCGAAAGATTATCTAATCCCTCTTTGTCAAGTGAAAAGTTTCCGACAGCAACAAATGGTCAGTAATTCTGATTTCCAGTGGAAACAACAAGTAATCAGAAGTTAGGTAGTCAGTTTGGAATACAAAGTGGAGTTGAATTAGTAGTGGTTCTGCATGGGCTGTGTGTCAGGAAGTCAGACAAGTTTAAGACTTCAGATTTCGGGTAAAGTAGAAATGGTTATTCTTCATGGGTTAATTTAAGTTGAGTAAGGATCTGTTCCTCGTCAAGATTTGGGAGCCCTTTTAAGGCTGGGTTCGGTTACATTTTTGGAAGGTTGTTGTATGCCCGGGGTTGCTTACTCGGTTCGCATCGGGGTTGTGGTTGATGGTAAGGAATGATTTCGAGGAAAAAATCTAATTTAAGTGGGGGAGAGTTGTAACACCCAATTCAAAATATTTTTCAGTTTGGACCCTTGGTGTGTTAATGTTTTGCATAATTGGTTCCTAGGAGGCAGATTTGCCAATTTCAGAAAGTGGGAGTATGTTGGGCGTACTCCTTGTACACTGGGCGTACTGACTCTCTTTGTGATCGCGGATCTTGACCACGTACACGGGGCGTACGTAGAGTACGCATGGCGTACGAGAGCTTGAGTGAAACCCTAATTTTTAGGGTTTGCACCCTATTTAAACCTTATGATAGCCTTATTTGGTCATGTTTAGCCAGCCTCCACCTTCCTTTGTCCAGAAATCAATACCCTAGTGTGTGTTTGTGAGTTTTAAGCCTTAAAGAGTGTTTGTTGGTGATTTGTGAAGGAGAAGAAGAGGAAGAGCATTTGGAGAAGTGTCTTGAGCTTGAAGATCCAAGGACAGCTCATCATTTGCAAGCTGTTTGAGGTAAAAAGATCACATCTTGATGATCCATGATGCTAGATCTAGTTATGTTGTTATTTTATGTTTTTTGAGTCCTTGGAGTGATGGATGAGCTTCTTGACTCACTCCAGAAGTTTTGGTGTTAGATCTAGGCTTCTTTTGGTCCCCTTATTCATAAAAATGCAAGCTTTATGGTGTATCTTGGACCATGCATGTGTTAAGACCTTTGTTAAGCTCTCTTTGAGCTCTTGAGCCCCATTAAGTCATGCATGTGTGTAAAGTTGCCAACTTTACGTGATTAATGGTCTTATATAATCAGATCTGAGAGTTTGTCTTGAAGTCTCAATGGATTAAGTGCTTAATGAAGTGGGGTGGTTAGGGGTGAGCAAACCCAAACCAATAAACCGACTAAAACCGACGAAACTGAAACCGAAAAAACCGAAACCGAAGAAAAACCGACGGTTAGGGTTTGACTTTTTAAAAACCAAAAAATCGGGTTTGGTTTCGGTTTTTACCCAGAAACCGACCCATCCAACCCGAGAAACTGACCTATACTTAAAACTGACAAACCGCCCCAAGAAACCGACCCATCCAACCCGAGAAACCAACTCATACTTGATTGTGTTTTGGTTGTAATAGATTATTTCGGGCTTTGGTTTCACTTGTAATAGACTATTTGGTTGTAAGACTCATGTTTTTTGAAGTATTTAACTTCTTGCTTTATTTCTCGAACAGACCAAACCGACCTCAGAACCCGAGAAACCGAACCGACCAGAAACCGATCCTATTGGGTTCTAAAAACCAGAACCGACCATTTATGGGTTGGGTTGGGTTTGGACCTAAAACAACCCATGCACAACCCTAGGGGTGGTCAAATGGGGAGTATGATGGGCGTACCAAGCTGGTACGTTGCGCGTACTAGCCCTAGAAGGAGTACGCTAAGCGTACGAGCTGAGTACACCCCGCGTACTCAGCATGTAGGCTTCGGATTTTGGGCTTCTCGGTTTTGGGCCCATATTTTGGACATTAGGAGATTAGGGCCTTGTTGGGCCATCATATTTCTATTTTTGGGCTGATGTCATTATGTTGGATTCTTTTGGTCGAAGGCCCACGAAGGGGTTTTGGCCCAATTTGGAAGATTGGGCCATATTTAATACTTTGGTTTCCATTTTTGGAATTGGGCCTTTTTGAGTAGTTGGTTTGGACCTTGGACTTGGGCTAAGTTAGGTAAAGGGTGAAATGGTCTTTTACCCTAGTTTAGACTCTTAGTTATGAGTCGGGATCCAATTATTAACTGGATGTTATTGGTATTTAAAGCGCGGGGATTGTTGGACCAGCAGCCCGAGATTTATCAGTGTGACTCAGCAGCTTGAGGTGAGTCTTCCTCATCATGTTTAGCGGGTCGAAGGCACCGATGTCGACCCATGGTTTACTATGTTTGAGTGGTAGATGCCTGCGTGACTCTTGCATGTGTATGTGTTGTATGCTTTGCGGGCGGGGGCCCAATGGTTATTATGTATGATATTACTTGCTATACTTATATGTTTGTATGTTGGGCGGGGCCCGTTATGCGAGTTAGGGCGAGGCCCGTTATACTTAGTGGGCGGGGCCCGTTATGCGAGTTAGGGCGAGACCCATTATACTCGGTAGGCGGGGCCCGTTATATGTTTGATATGTATGGTATGTGGTATTTGGGGGAAACTCACTAAGCTTCGTGCTTACGGTGTTCAATTTATGTTTTAGGTACTTCTGGTGCAAAGAGGAAGAGCTCGGTGTGATTGATACATTTGTTCCACTTGGGATTTATGATGATGTTTTGGGATACTGTTTTATTAATTCAAAAATGAAATTTCGGGTCTTATTTTTGGGACGTTACAAATAGATATATAAATATGTAATACATAAAAAATAACACATAAAAATACATAAAAAAAATATGTAAAATACTAGAAAATACATAAAAAAATATGTTTATACATTTAAAATACGTAAACATATACATATAAAACTTTTAAAAAAATACATAAATATGTAAAAATAAATAAAAATTCGTAAAAAAATACGTTTATACATTATATACAAGTTTCACGAAATCTACAGAAAAGTCTCTTTATTTTGGAAAAATTATCGATTTGGTCTCATGACCTGTTGAACAGGTCAAAAAAATGCTAAAGTAATTAAATTAGTCGGTTTTTTGGGCTTTCCTATTCAAAAAGTTAAAAAACCGGGATTTTGCTATTCAAAATATAAAATTTATGGCTTTATTAAAAAAATTTCACAAAATATTATAACTTTTCTGAAAATTTCTTATAAATTAATTAGGTATTTAAAAGCATTGTTTTTTTTATTTTTACCTAGGACGAGGCCAACCCTTACCTTACAAAGATTATAATGAGGTTATTTGTTGAAGTTAAAAAGGGACTAAAAGTACGTTTTCTAATCTACATGTGGTTGAAATGAAATTTACGGAAGTCGTGGAAAACGTAAAACCCAATTTGTTTCTAGAATCGTCGTCGAACAGTAGTATCAAATTAGAAATCGAACCCCTCCGCCTTTGATTCTCAAAATCCGTTTGACAAACACAGTCACCCAAAGTCGTACCCTCCTTCTCCTTCTTCTATACTCGATGATAGCTCTCCTTTTTCTCCGAATCGATGGCAACCCCTTATTTTATCTCCTTTTTTTTTCTTTTTTCTTTTTTTTTTTTTTTTTTTTTTCTTTTTTTTTTCTTTTTTTTTTTTTTTTACATTTTCAGCTGTTAGGGATGGTGATAATGGAGGAATAAGGGAGGTCGTGGGTGATTGAAGGTGGTGTAGGGTTATGAGTGTGTTTGTGTATGGTTTTATGAGTATATTTGTTTTGTTTTTGTGTATTGTTTTTGTTTTTAAGATGATTTTTAGATGGATATGAAGGGGTAGAAAAAAATTAGGTGGAGATAGAGCTGACATATGGTGATGGTGGCAGGCTGTTGTGGTGGCAGGCGGTGGTCGAACGGTGGTAGTGTCAGAAGATGTTCTTGAGTGTTTTAAGTTTATGAAGATGTTTTTGGATTGATAAACCCAAATGGAGAGAGAGAGAGAGAGAGAGAGAGAGAGAGAGAGAGAGAGAGAGAGAGAGAGAGAGAGAGAGGTTTTACTTTATTTTATTTTTTAATTTAGAAAATAATTAAATACCAAAAAGAAAAGCAAAAAACAAATGGAAAATGGCAAATCCGTCATTTTTAGATTTTTTAAACTGTTTTGGACCAAAACCACAACAAAATGAAAACTTTTTGACTATTGGTGCTAGTCCAAACCTGTTTGGCCCAATGTAGCAATTTTGGACATACCACAGGGACCATTCTTGCAATTTTGTCTAATGAGGTTATTTGTTGAAGTTAAAAAGGGACTAAAAGTACGTTTTCTAATCTACATGTGGTTGAAATGAAATTTACGGAAGTCGTGGAAAACGTAAAACCCAATTTGTTTCTAGAATCGTCGTCAAATTCTGCAACGAAAAGACACCTCTTGCCGATTGCGATTTTTAAGATTTCTGTGTGTGTTTCTGTGAGAGACGCTGAGAATGGTGGTGCTTGAGCCGATTCCTTCGACTGATGACGAACCAAAAAGGTCAAAATCAACCACCGTTGCCGCCGGCAGCGTAGATTCAAGCAGTGGCGATCAAGCAAACGCCGCCGGAGTAGATATGAAAAGTGACGACAGAGTAACCGGCGACGGATACGCATCCGATGGTTTCGAAACCGCAAGCGAGACCGAAGTTGGCGATGATGAGACTGTATCTGATGATAATAACAATTCAAATGACTCCATTGAACATCAACAACACCATCCGGAAGAGCTGTCTGTGGCGTCAAAGGATCAGTGCTTTGAAGATACGCTCGACGAAGACGAACTCAAGCAGGTTCACTCTTTCTCGCTTTCGAGGTTATAATTCATATACCCTGCGGTGTTTAGGTTTTGTCATTTAGTTGAAGCGTCTGGCATCTGCGTTGAGTTTTTGATTTTATCCAATGGTGTAATCCCTAGAATTTGTGTTTGGAAGCATTTTACAATATCATCTTGCCAATTAGCTGCTGATTGGAGTCTTCAGATTGATTTTGCTTGCTAGCTCTATGTTGATTTTGCTTTTAGATGGTTTTTAACACATGATTCGCATCACTCATGGTGTTCAAAACGTCTAATGCATGATACTCTTGGTACTGGTAATATGCTTCTTGAGTTCTTGATATAGGTGGATTCTACTTTCTTCTTCCAGTCTCCATATGAACAATGTGAAATGTATGAAGGCTTTACAAGGATATTCTTGCAGTAACTAGTCTAATCTTTGGGCTTGGGATTGAATTTGAATTCTAAAAAATCTCCATTTAGGATCATCATTTTGTGACTTTTAAGCTAAAAGTATTCATTCTTTTCTAGTCCTAGTACAGAAGTATATATATATGATATTCATTTTGGTTACATAAAAGTATGAATTGATTTCCCCTTTCCCTATTGTCTTGATGGAAGGTTTGAAAAAAAAGTTGAATTCAATGTTGCTCACTTATTATCTTGGAGATGCAGAAACTTTTAGCAGAAATGAATGAGGCAAAAGTGAAGGCAACAAGTTATTTGGAGATGGTTTGTATGAAGAGGCTTTATTGAAGTATGATTATGCCATACAACTTGCACCTGAAATCTCCTCACTTTCAGAAATTAGGTCAATTTGTCACAACAATCGTGCAACATGTTTCTTTAAACTTGTGAGTTCTAATCTTACACATTATCAATTAAATTTTGTAATTAGATTTAAAGTCTTAATCTTCATGCTATGTATGACAGGGGAAGTATGAGGAGTCCATAAAAGAGTGCACAAAAGCATTGGAACTAAACCCTAATTACATGAAAGCTCTTCTTAGAAAAGCAGAAGCCCATGAGAAGCTTGAAAATTATGAAGATGCTATTGCTGGTAATTATGTTAAATAATTAATACTTTGATTAATCATTTCTTTTCTTTTTTTGAAAATTGTTTTATTAATATATTGTTTAGGGATGAAGAAAATCTTGGAATTAGATCCTTCAAATAAGCAAGCTAAGAGGACAATTATCCGTTTAGAACCATTGGCTGTAGAAAAACGTGAAAAGATGAAGGAAGAGATGCTTGGTATTAATATTATTATTATAATAATAATTAAGTTTAATTAAAAAAATATTGAAATATGTGTTTGAAAATGTATATTGTAGGGAAGTTGAAAGATATGGGGAACACAATTTTAGGGAAATTTGGGATGAGTGTGGATAATTTTAAAGCGGTAAAAGATCCAAATACCGGCTCTTATTCCATCTCATTTCAGCGTTGAAGACAGACTGACTGACAGAGACACAGACAGATAGATGTGTCATTTGAAGGAACATAAACATAATAGTTGTGCATGTGGATACATACCCCTACTCCCTATACACTATCTTTTTTGGTATTAAGATGGAAGCGTATGATATAATAAACAATGGTCATATATTTTTTAATTTTCATTTGGTTCTTATCAATTTCGGACATGTGTTTGGTATGAACATTATTTTGTATGATTGATTCAATTCGTTATCTATTTTATTTTATGTTTTTCATATTAAAAAATTAAAAACTACTTCATCTATTATTTTAATGATTCACTTGTTCTTGGTCTACCAAACTTTCTAATTTTGTTCCAATTGAGTTACTTTGATTACTCGATTAGCTGTTAATTGATTTGATGATTACCACAAGAAAAATTAAATATCCTCTTATTTTGTGTTCCTACAAATCTTCTTACCCAATTAAATGATGATATGTATAACATTTAATGTTTATTTAATGATATTTTAGGATGCTAATATGACACATGTTATCATTTATATGGGTAGGAGGATTAGTAGGAACAAAATGTAGGATGGTATTTAATTTCTCGTTTTGGTGAAGATTATTGAGCTTTTTGTATGGTATTTGCTAGAAAAACCATAGAAAAAAATAGATGAAAATATATGGATTGAGGCAACTCATTAAAGGAGATGCCACATTGCCCTCAATGTCAGATGGTTTAAATTAAGCTACATTTTACGAAAAATACAGTTAAGTTCAAAAGTACAACAAAAAGAAATGTCATATCTTACAAATTCCAACTATATTAATTATTACACCAAAAGCATCGCAATTTCACCTTTTCAGTGTTGCTCCCATCCATCAATTTTATTCCCCCATAAATTATGAAAAAAAAGAAAAAAGAATTGTTGATGAAAATGAATGATTCTGCTGCTATCGACTTTGTACTACATGAGCATGAGCATGAACAACATTATTATTATTATTATTATTATTAATGTTGTCTTCATCCTTTTGTTTTTCTGCTATCATTTCTGCATGTTGCTCCAGATACTCACTGCTGTTCATTTCTGTCAACCTGTTTTCATTACACACTCTATTGTAATATTTCTTTATTTATTATAAAAATCATCCCTCTTTTAAAAAAATCTACATACCTACTAATAGTGCGATCTTTTACAAACCCGAGTTCATTATCAACACAAAGGTCAGAATCGTCATTTTTCCTTGACCTTGATGAGGTTCTAGGTGCCCTACTTTGGGCATCTGAAATAGTCACAATCCTTTCAAAAAGATCAAAAGGAGTCCCCTCAGCTGTACACATCAGCCTCGCCTTATTCTCATACATCACCTGTAAGAAGGGTATTTACGTCTTTTTCACATACAGAAGAGAAGCAAAAAAAAAAAAAAAAAAAAAAAAAAGAATCTCACATCAACTAGAGTGACAAACCGATGGGCTGCAGTCCTATTGTGTAGCCCAAAAATTGGCACACCATCCAAAGCCAATGTATGAAACTTTTCTGTCATTAAAAAAATGTCATAACTTTTTTTTTTCTTAAGTAAATAAAATTTAAAATTTTTATTAAATTCACTTACTACATAATCCAAAATAGTCAGCAGCACCAAGTGGTTTGTTACATAATTCCTCAAAAGGAAAATATGCACATCCATTTGCACCCAATGGTACCTACTCATAAAAAAAAATAATTACTACAAAATAATATGTTTATTCATATTTTGTAAAAAAAAAAATTAGTCATCTTAGGTGTTGTTTCTTCTAATTTCTCATATATTTTTTAGAAATCATTTATCCAAACATCACTTTATTTAAATAGAAAGAAAGAAAGAGGGTGATTGCTGGTGAAAATATATGAAATGACATTTATACCCTTGTACATGTACCTGTAGTTTTCTGCCCATAACAACTTCTGCCACCTGGGGACGAGCTGTACGTTCCCCAACTAATTCTTGAAACTTTTGGAGAAGGAAATCGGATGAGTCATCATTTTTTATGAAGTAAAAACCTTCTTCAGCCTTCATTTCAAAAAAATAAAAACATAAAATTATAAAATATTTCGGAAATCAAATAACACACTTGAGGAAATTGAATGAATATATAAACGAGGGCAGATTTGTAATTTGTAAAAAGTTAAAGAGTTTAGCATTTACCGATGTCCTCTTCCTATAATCTATGGAAGAACCGATTTCATGTATAATGCATCTTTCCTGCATCCATGGAGGCATGGACAAAACTAGTAAATAAAGGGTAAAAATGGAATATTGAAAAATTGAGTTTACCTTTAATGTGGCAATGAAGGGTAGAAAAAGATCTCTTTGTAGTCCACCTTCATAAAGATTATCTGGAGCTCGGTTTGATGTAGCAACAAGTATCTATACTTCCATTACAAAATAAAAAATAAAAAATAAAATTATTATTTATATATATTAATATTGAAGAGGATTTAATTCTTAAAAGATATGCAAAATTTTATAGATTTCTTTATCACTTACAGCACCATTACTAAAAAGATGACCAAATAATCGGTTTAGTATTAAAGCATCAGCCACATCATTAACCTGTAATATCATCATTATAATAAATTAATAATCATTGAACTATTATTATAAATGAATTTTATTTTTTTATTTTTCTAACGTTATAACATATTACATACCATAAACTCATCTAAGCATAATAAAATGGATTCATGAGATATTTCTCCAGCAACAACTTCAAGGGGATCAGAAACACCTTTATGCCTCTGCAATTATGAATTTTTTTAAATATAAGTGCATGGGATTTTTTCCACAAGTTTCCAAATATACCCTTACATGTTAGTTTTTAAATTATATATCTAAATATCCTTTTATGTTAGTTTTACATTTGTCATCTACTTTTTACCAAACATTATTACTTTATCAGACAGTACAGCTAGCTTATCAGCTACCAGCTATTCTCTGACAAACATAAAGGAAGCAACTTTACCTGCAAGCGACTGTGTACGGTCAACATGAAGTCATGAAAATGAATCCTATTTTTCCTCCAATTGCAAGGCCTAATAAATTCAAATTACAT